CGAACGGAGATCTGTCGAAAACAGGACCTCTCGAGATGGCCCTCCGGTGGCCCTCCATTCTCGCATAGAATCAAAAATTGAAACAGGAGCGGGGGAAAAAGACGGTATACTCACCTCCAATCGAAGGCCGGCGGTCACCTGCAAGCCGATCGACGACCACGGCCGCGCTGCCTCCTATCGCTACCACGACGCCGGCGAACGAAGGCCCAACCAGACCGACATCGTAGGCAAGCCGCGACAGCACTGAAGGACCGGGACAATAGAGGTGGGGTGACGGTTGAGCGCGTCCGCCGGCCGGCGCCGCCCTTTTGCCGAGGAAGGCAACTCAATTCGACGAGGTTTGGTTCTTAGGATTTGGGGATTTGGGGATTTTCTCTCACTACTTTGGATTTTCTCTCAACTGCGAATGTACACTGCATGTCATTACAATTTATAAAGTATACTTTTCTTAATTTGTCAACTTTCTCATATGTATTACTTTTTTTAATACATCAATACAATCACAATAAGTTCAATAATATTAAAAAAAAAAAAGCATAGTTTTTATCAATTCAACATAAGAAAATCATAAAAAAATAATACATTTTTCAAAATCTTTTTATGAACAAAAATTTTATGTTGTAACATAGTTGACTCGACAATATAATAGATGATTGTATAAATTACGAATATATAACTAGAATTCTACATACACTTAAAAAAGACTTAAAATATATTTTCTAAAATTAGATAAAAATTATGTCGCAAAAGAGAGATAATAAGATATCATCAAGAATAAAAAGAAAAGAGAGAAATAGAGCGTAAAATTGTAAACTTTGATATCATATTTTCTTTAGTTGGGATACCGCATTGATGTTATAATTTTAATAACGTTATGAGTTGAATTAAATTATAATTGGTTGAGTTGTAAATTAATCATTATTTGTCTTTATTCTTTTAATTTTATTTTCTAAATAGAGGACATGATTAAAATTATGAAAAATGTTCCCATAATGTTTGTTAGATATCTTATGCTATTTGTTTTGGGATGATGCCAGTTTTGGGACTGTTGGACAAACATGGATCTGCACATGATTGCAACAAAATATTTTTGTTATAAATTTCATTGAAAAATTCAAACGAAAATTGTAACGTTGAAATATTCGTTAGAATTGTTGTCGAAATTTCGCTGTAATATGTTTTCATCGGAATTTCATCATTTTCTTGTATTAAAAATATGACTCCAAATCAAACTAAAAAATTTGCACTATACATAATATTGTGTGCAGTTAATTGTTTTGAAAATTCTAATAATGATACAAAATATAACATATTTAATGTAATTATCATTTAATTTATGATAATTAGTAATTAAAGAAAATACATATAAGTTGAAAAGTCCTTAAATATTTTATTAGTATTATAATAATTAAAGAAGAGGCCAGAATGATATTCTACTGAAAAGGTAATATTAATATTAAACAAGATGTAAAAATGATGTTCTACTTAATAGAAAGGTAAAACTATACAACGAGAAAGCTTATAACTGACATTCCACTCAAAAATAAAAAAAAAAAATATGATAAAATTAATAAATGTCATATATCAATTGGAGCTAGCGAATGATAAATGTAAAATATACTTGAGATGCACATGTATAAAAAAATATATTTATTTTTTTTGTCTTAGAAATCGGTATGTTAGTCATAATTTTTTAGTTAAAAAATTAGTTAATTTACACCATTAAATTTCTTAATTTTGAAATACTTAATTTTTTTTGTGGTTACCCTTTTATATGTAATATACCTTATCATTTCTTTCCCATGATATTTGATTTTACCAATGTTTTGTAAATAAAATAAAAATAATATAATTATTTATATCGATGTAAAATAATATATATACCAATACCAATTTAAAATAATAAATAGACCTAAAAGAATCTTATAAAATAATTATAGATTCATGTTAAATTAAATTTATTAATTAGAAAATAATATTAAATAAACTTGTGGTATATTTTTCTGACATAGATTTGAAATATTCATACTAAGGAAAAAGTCAACTAGATGTAATTGTACAACTATTACCAATATTAAATATGTGAATTAAAAGAAAAAATAAATCGGTTGTATGTTAAACTATTATTCAATTATTGCTTGAAAGGGAACACCATAATGGTTGTAAAATGTATTTTTTGTGAATATAAACATGAATTAGTTACTTAATATTTTATCAGAAAATGGAAATAAATTCAAAACTTTTTAATATTATAAACAATATAAAACTACATTTTTATCAAGTATATTATTACCATCAAACACGTAAAAAGAATGCATTGCATATAAATATTCTCTGAATCTTTCAAGAAATAAAATATTATTTGTGAATAAAAAAAAAACAAGTAAACCAATAGTAATGCAATGAGGAAAAGAAAAATTCTGATTTTTTCTTATAAAAGTATGAATACTAATATCAAGAAACAAAAATCTTTTAAATTTACTACTAGCATTTAAGTATATGTTCTCTATAAGAAATTAGTTCTCATAAATAATGATTCGATATTATCATAAAATAGACCACAAACTTTAATAATGAGTTCATAATAATAAAGTTAACAGATGACTAAGAGTATCATAATATAGTATAATTCAAATTCTTCTCATCAGAAATATTTTACTTCTAAATATTGTCTCATTGTTTTGTTTTGTTTTGTTATTATTGAAGAATCAATAAAGGATCTTTATCTTGAATTTTTTAAGAATTAGTTATGATACAAAAGATTGGACAATAATTGCAATAAATGTTATTAGACACATAAATATTGCAAATCCGAAAGAATATGGAAGGTATCTATCTTCCAAATTAATAACACTAAAAATGGAATGTTTAATACTGATTAAAATATTTTTGAATGTTGAATAAGTTATCACTTTTTGATAAGAATTTACAATCATAACTGTGTATTGTGCTCGATCATACGCGCAATTGTTTTAGCGTACATATTTTCATGTAATGTGTGATGATTTCAAAGAAATAATTTAGCATCTTCATAGAAGTACATGATTTTGAAAAATCAAATTTTATTTAAAGATGAAATTCGTTCCCACCTCATGGGGTAAGTACCAATTTGTCTATGTGTGGAGAGAGAGAGAGAGAGAGAGAGATGTAGTAGTTTATACAATGAATAAAAGAAATATCAAGAATTTTAATGACACAAATATCAAGAAATTTAATGCTACAAATGTTTATTTCACAGAGATACTTATGAACTATTAGTAGAAATACCTTATAATGATCATACAATCATAAAGTTTGACTATATATTTGGCTAAAGTATTTCTAAGTGTTGAATAAAACAGACGTTTTGCAAAATTAATTAAGAAGAATTTTGCAATACTTTTGATGTATTAGAATTCAACGAGTATGAATATTTCTTATGAGAATATCAAAACCCAAATAAAAGAAAATGACTCTTGAATCTAACATAAATAAATAAAAGAACTCATGCATCTATAATATATATTATGTCTTTATTTAGTCATTTATTGTTTTTTCATTAGGAACTCATTTTTCATATTTTTTTGTTGAAGTTGTAATATGATATTTAAATCTTTTTATATTACGACAATATTTTTTTATTTAAAATAAAATGCATGAAAAGTTTATTTATTCTACATTTTATTTTGTTCCTGCAGTCATATGTGTAATAAATTAATTAATTTATCTTACTAAATTTAATCGGTAAAAAACATTCGTCGCCACGTGCATCGCACGTGCACTTTACTAGGTATGGATAAAATGGTTGACCTTGAACAGCAACTAAGTTCAAAAATCCACCTTGCGTGGTTGAGTAGAAAAACCGCTTATTCTACGATCGTTTGGCTTACAACATAACATATATAATAGGTACTTGGAACAATTCAGCCACATCGTGCAAGTCAAATTCACAAGAAATTCTGCATTTTTCCAACTCTCCATTTTCGTTGGCCATCAAAAAGTGAAATCAATAGTCACACGTATGTTTGTCTCCACAAACAATGTCATGAACTCTATTTAAAAAGTCATCATAGAACAAACTCCCCCAACGCATAAAGTTCATCTCTGCCTGTACGACATCAGTAAAAAAAGATACAAAAACATTTTACTGACAAAAGATTTTCACATTTGGGAATTAGGTAATCAATGTCTTACATAATAAAACAAATAAATTTTAAAACACAAACGATTTCTAACATGGGGTCGGGAATGATGTGAACCGAGCATTCGGGCTTGACGAGAAAATCTCAAAAGACGAAAGCAGCAGGGCGTGGACGGTTTCGAGAAGTATATGAGCGGGAGTTGGCAGATTTTGGATATGCATGGCAGTTGCATGCATACTAGATAACTTATATAATTTTTTATATTTAGATAAGATAAATTATGTTAGCCTTATTTTAAATTTTAAATGTGTTGGTTAGGATTAGTTATAGGTTTAAATATTTAAATGTTTGTAGTATTATAAATAGGACATTTGTATGTATGTTTGAAATGAAGTTTTATGAAATAAAGTTTAAAAAAGACTCATTTTCGAGTACTGTCTTTGTGAAATACCGAGGCCGATAGTGTAGGTATTTTACTTATTAATGTATAAACCAAGGCCAATAGTGTAGGTTTTATACATTTTATCATGTTCGAACTAATCCCGCGGGTTCTTATACAAAATAAGTCCCCATACACGATTTTCATTAGGCAGAACCGACTCTCTATATCAATAGAGAAAGAAAAAGTAAATGGACCCATCCCCAATAAATGCATGAGATATACATATCAATTATAGAGAGAGAGAAAAAAAAAATAAAAAATAAAGTCGCATGGCCATCAACATTCCCCACAGTCCACACACACGCCCATCGATGGCGGACACGCGAAAATGGCGTGCCCACTTCCCCATCTGGCGTACCCAATCCTTTGTACAACACAGGTAGCACGGGGTACAACTCCGAGATCGAACTCCTCTGCACAATTCACGCAAGCACACAGCAGTCGTGTTCCGTTTTGACAATACAATATACGTGCATGTCTGCTCCAACTGGTCCCTATCGACTATCGAGTTTCAACTACCCCATTTATCACCAAAGCCCCATTCCTTATCTATAATTTAATGTCACCCTGAGCAGAGACTCGGCATATGGATTTATTGAATTATGTATTTGCCACTAAATTTGCGGATAACTGAATAATTTTCGATCAAGAATTTGTGTTTGAATCGGATTGGTGAAAAAAATGAGAGAGCTAAGGCCATTGGTGCACCTTCTGTTGCCTCTGTGTGTGCATTGGGTTGCTGAAGAAATGACTGTTTCAGTTCTGGTCGACGTCACCACTAATGCTCTTTGCCCGGGACAGAACACTTGCCCTCAAGCCATTTACATTAATGGCATACAGCAAACTGTGAGTCTTTACATTAAAAGGTTGAATTGTAGAAGTTTGACGTTTTCTGGACCTGAATTTGATCCTTTATTCTTAGTTTCTCCTTGAATTTTGGGGACTTGTTTGTGTAAACTACTATATCACTATGTTTTACTTTTGATGACCACTGATTTTGTCGTTTTTATTATTTATTTATTTATTTATTATGATTTACTTGATAAAAGACTTGATTTTTTTGGATGTATTTTAATGCTTCAAGTGAAAGGAGTGAGAATGCGAGTTTGTAACATCCTTGTGCCGTTCAGCGCTCCCTGTGTTAATTCATATAGTTGATTAAGAAAATTGGTAGAAAATTAGCTTTTTTATTGTGGCAGTGCTCACTTCTAGTTAGGATTATTAATTCCCCAGTTTTTCTTGTATCCTAGTTCTTATAAACTTATTCAATTTTAGGATTGATATTTTGACATGTGATTTAGGAGGCAGCCCCCCAGCTTGTGTGTTTTTGCTTAAAGTTCACTTGAACTACTTGTTTTGTGGATTGTTGTAAGCCTCTTATGATTAATTCCCTATCACCTCACTACTTAAAGAGTGATAAACATGTCAAATACACTTTAATGTAATACCAGTATCCTCTGGGGCTGTTGCATTCTTTATTGTAATGGTGAAATTGTTTACATAATTTAACCGTCACCAAGCGGGTGCTCACTCTCAAGCTGTAGCCTGCGGCTTTGGTTACAGGTAGTCGGCATATTCAAGATGATAGTTCTTCCACTTTTGGGTCAGTTGGCAGATGAGTATGGACGAAAACCGTTGCTTCTTATCACTGTTTCCACCACAATTGTTCCTTTCAGTATGTTTCTATAGATGGGCTTTATTCTTTGCACGAACTTTATTATTATGTTTTTAATCTTTTCATTGTTCGTATGATATCTCAGAATTGTTTAATAATTGAATGTTTGCCTGATTGTGGAAATCCAAGTATTGGGGAGTGAAATATGCTTTTTGTATCATGAGTTCTGAAGAAGTTTTGAGACTGAAAGATAAATTGTTTCCAGTTAAGAGAACAGCAGTCTAGTATGATCGTCAGATCTCATATAGAGAAAGATGCTCCTATTTACAGCTTTTATGTGACGCTTAGAATAAAGGATTAAGCACACCAAATATCAGTAATTCAACTTGATATATAGTCATATACTTTAGGTGATTAGACCATGTGTTATCTCACTTACTCATGGTGTTTATTTATCCCCTCATTTTGTCACTTAAGATAAACTACTTACTTGAAGGATGCTAATTACAAGAATATTGTACGCCATCCACTTTAGCCTTACTAGTATTGTAATATTTTGTTCTTAATTATTGGGATCACATTTTCTTTTTCCTGAAGTATTGTTTTACTTTCCAGCTTTACTTGCCATTGATCAATCACAAGGATCTGTGTATGCTTATTATGCTATCCGGACCATTTCCTATATCATAAGCCAAGGGAGCATCTTTTGCATTTCTGTTGCTTATGCTGTAAGTTAATTCAAAGTTGGTACCACTGTTCCATAACTGGGGCATAAGGATTCAATTTGCAAATTTATTTGCCTCCTTTCAGGCAGATGTTATTGATGACAGTAAAAGAGCTGCTGCCTTTAGTTGGATCACCGGCCTTTTCTCCGCTTCACATGTTGTAGGTAATGCCCTAGCACGTTTTCTTCCTGAAGGATACATATTTGAGGTATGCTTGTGTTGTCTTCTTTTCTCCATATGTTTTTCTGTTCTTTTCTATCTCATTCATATAACTAGTTCTGAATTTCAGGTGTCAATAGCTCTATTGATCTTTGTTCCTGTTTATATGGCACTTTTTCTGAAAGAAACAGTGGGACCAACTCAAAAATCAGACCAGCACATTTCTTTCTTTAACAAGGCATTGGATATTGTTAAAGGACGATATTATGCAATGAAGTATGCTGTGCATGTTGTTACCAGCAGGTATATATAGATGCTTTACATTATCCAGGAAATATCTTATAATTTTTGTGTACCGACCATAGAAAATTAATATCAAATTTATGCAAGCTTAGCTCCTGGTTAAACATTCCTTACCAAAATTCTTACCAGTTAGTTTATAATATATTTTTTTTCTTATTGTTGCCTCAGTACAACGCTTAAGCGCATTTCTCTTGTTTCCTTCTTCTATGAATTGGGGATGTCTGGCATCAGCAGCGTCCTATTGGTATGTCTCGAACAAGTACATAAAGAATTAAATGATATTTATGACAAAATTCACTGAACTTAGCAAATGTTTCTTTTTAACAGATTCACTTTTTATTTCATTCTGCAAATACAAACCTATATGTTATAAACAAACAGTATCCTTTTAATATAAGCGTGGAGAATATGTATGGAAATGGATTTGAAACCTAACCTCCTCTGTACTAGAGAAGGCCTTTGTATTCTGTCCTTGCATGAATTGATTCAGGAATATCTGTTAACTGTCTTCTCATAAAGAATCTTTGAACCTGAATGTGTGCAACAGCAGTGCTATAAGTGCAACCTAGCACTTTGATGTTTTTGTAGGAGTGATGTTAATATAAAATCAGTGGAAGTTTGTGATCTGAGTTGTTGGCACATGTGTAAATCTTCTTTAACCGCCTTATACAACCTTGCAGTATTACTTGAAATCAGTTTTTGGTTTCAACAAAAATCAGTTGTCAGAAATCTTGATGATGGTGGGGGTTGGCTCTATTTTTTCTCAGGTACTTGAATATACTATCTCAAGATTTGTTTTGATACTTCATTCCGAAACCTTTTAAAAGAACAAAAATCTATCTTATCTTTTCTACTGTCTCGACTCTTTGTAACTCTCTCCAAGTTTTTTTTTTGGTATCACGTAATTAAAAATGCTTCTGCTTATGCGTGTTTCAAGATGCTGGTGCTTCCTTTACTTAACCCGTTGGTTGGGGAGAAATTGATCTTGTGTGCAGCCTTGCTCGCTTCAATTGCATATGTAAGTTTATGGTATCAAATCTAATGTTATTTAGATATGTTGCTGCCAAATAGATTTCTGGAATCTTTTCAAAAAAAAAAGAAAACCATGAAAATAGTTTAACAGAAATTTTGTCTGTGCAGGGACTGCTTTATGGTTTGGCCTGGGCACCATGGGTATGTAAACACCTGGATTTTTTTTTATTTTTTATTTTTTAAATTCTCGTTTGGAGGAACTTATTCCTCTTTTAATATTTCCTAACAATTTCTTCGTATCTCTATGAGACAAGTTATCCTAGAATTTCTAGTTGAGTCCCCATTTCACGTGTCTTATGTTATTGGCATAGATATGAAGAGCTTTATCAACTTGTGGCCATGTAATTTATTTTTTACTGCATGTATGTTGACTACTAATATATGCTGGCACAGGTGCCTTATTTGAGCGCTTCGTTTGGAGTAATTTATATCCTTGTCAAACCTTCTGTAAGTCATTTGCTCTCAAACCCGTTTCGCCTTCTTACCTTTTTGCAGTCATTGTATTCATTATTCTATATTTAATGGCAGACTTATGCAGTTATATCCAAAGGATCAAACTCGTCAGATCAGGTTAGTCTATTGTGTTGTATTTAACTGTTCAAGTAAAGCCTAGTCATCATAATATCTGCCTCTTAGAAGAAATAACACCAAAATTCTCATAGCCGACCCGACTTCAAACCGACAGCCTTTGAGCGACGTGTTTGGAAATTGTGATTATTAATACTCTGTCCACTCTTCTGTTGGGATTCATTCACAGTTTCACACAGTTATTATGCAATCAGTCAATAACACATCTTCCTTGATATTATTACCAACAAACAGGTAAAATACTAGTTGCGAATGACTAAAGACTACCTTTTCTTAAGAGAATATAAGTGAAATGGTCACTTTGGTGAACCTATAATTTCCCAATCTTCTTCTTCTTTCTTTTTTTTTTTTTAAAAAAAAATTATTATCTAAGAGAATCAGTACCGCCACTTCTTAATCCCTGGAAAATTTATGCTAATTTGTCTCCGATAAAAAAGTCTGTGAAGTCACAACTTTGCTCACTTTTGGTACACTAATCTCAACAGTCGGGATTAACTTTTGATGTGGCGTGATTAAATTTGACAAGTTCAAATCGATTATTGAAACTAAATATGGATTTTAATATTAAAAATACTTTGTTCCAATAAATGTAACAGTTGAAATAATTAAATTAATAAAATTATAATGATAAAATGGTGATTAATTTTATTTATTATATTTAATTTATAACACAATGTATTATTATTTTCCCACGAATCGCACGGGCCACATACTAGTATACATGAAAGAAAATAGAAGATAGTTCGGTTTTAGATTCTGGTGCTTTTCTTCAATATCTGAAACCTCCTATTTTTGTTTTGCTTTTCTTCAATTAGGGAAAAGCACAAGGCTTTGTTGCTGGTATTCAATCAGTTGCAAGCCTGCTTTCACCACTTGCAATGAGTCCTCTCACGAGTGAGTCGGTTTTTCTGTTTCTTTATCAATTCTTTTTCGTGGGTTAAACAATGTCGACACTTTTTTGATGATCCATTTTTTTGCTTTGTTCTCGTTCCAGCATGGTTTTTATCCGGCAATGCACCTTTCAACTGTAAAGGTTTCAGCATCATATTTGCATCTCTAAGCATGGTAAGCTCGATTAATCTTTACTCTTAGTAGGACAACTCTTCAGATAAATAAATGACACAAATATCATCCTTGGGAAGTGTAATTCGCTAAATCGAAGAAAATGTCGAGGGCTAATTTATCATCTGACATATGCACATTCCTTTTGGTGGTGATTTTAAGAACTACCCTTGAGGTTTGGGGTATTTAGAAAATCAGGAAAGTATCAAATTGCACGACACCCCATTGTAGTTTGATTCTTTCTTGAATTTAAGGACTTGTAATATTTTAAATTAATACAAGTGTTGTGATCACACTTTTTATTATTCATTTAGGTTATCTCACTGTGCTTCGCGTGGATGCTAAAGTTAGATCACAGGGAAGACATTGAAACACCGCTACTATCATAAGATTTGGTTACTGTAGAGAGGGCTGCTATCGTATCAATATTTATGAGTTTTGCTATCGCATCAATGTTTTCTGACTTCTGTATCTAAACACTGAGCAAATTGTGCATGCATCTAATTCTCGGTATGGTTTGGAAGATCATATGCATTTCATGATGTGCAAAAATATCGAGGGAGACTCACTTCATGGGATGGGCCTTATGATCTGCCCCGCTCGAGTTGTAGATGTTACACGTAGTTGACGATATATATATCTATATTGTATCCTACAAGGTTGTTTAATTTGGATAAATAGCAACCAAAACATTGGTTAATTCTTTTTTTACAATTTTTTTAACTCAAAATGCATCTTAAATTTAATCTAACTTAAACTCTCTTAATAACATTATCACACACACCACATCAAAATATTGCATTATTTATCTTTTCAATTACCAATCATTGGAAATAATGTTTCTCATATTTTAACATCACATTAACTTTAAATATGAATTAAAATCCTCGCGCAAATCTCAATTCAGTCATTTTTGTTTTGGAAATTAACCTACTTTATCCTATAAATCCAATAAAAAAAAAATATATATTTCCAAGCATAATTGGATGCATTAATTAACTAGTTTTGTGAAGCCGAAAAATTTATTCTACAATTTGTTAATTTAAAATCAACTCAAATTGAATCCAACTCATCTATCTCAATATTATAAATGTAATTAGATAATACCAATCAATCATTGTAAGACATCAACAACAACAACAACAACATAGCCTTTTAATCTCAAGCAAGTTGGGGTAGGCTAGAGATGAAACCCTAGAGAACCAATGGTAACAGAAACACAAAAAGGACTCAAAACAAAAGAAAAAGATTGGAGCAAAAGAGAAAGGAGCAAAAGTCACGGTTCTGGCACGTTGATTGTTAGCCTCCAAGCGCTCCTATCCACCGCTAAATCCTTGGAAATATTCCAATTTTTAAGGTCTCTCTTAACCGACTCTTCCCAAGTGAGTTTAGGTCGACCTCTACCTCTCTTTACATCATCGACCCGCTGTAGAACTCCCCTACGCACCGGTGCATCAGGAGGCCTCCGTTGGACATGTCCGAATCACGTCAGCCGATGTTGAACCAATTTCTCCTCAATTAGAGCCACCCCGACCCTATCTCGAATATCCTCATTCCGGATTCTATCCCTTCTTGTGTGCCCGCAGAACCAACGCAACATACGCATCTCTGCTACACTTAGTTGTTGGACATGTTGCCTTTTTGTAGGCCAACATTCAGCACCATATAGCATCGCCGGGCGAATCGCCGTCCTGTAGAACTTACCTTTTAGCCTTTGTGGCACCCTCTTATCACAGAGAACGCCTGAAGCTTGACGTCATTTCAACCAACCGGCCGCAATACTATGTCTAACATCAACTTCAATGCCGCCATCCTTTTGTAGCATCGATCCTAAATACCGGAAAGTCTCCTTCTTGGCCACCACTTGCCCGTCAAGGCTAACGTCACCATCATCATGTGTAGCCATGCTGAAAGCACACGTCATGTACTCGGTCTTCGTCCTACTAAGTCTGAAGCCTTTCGACTCTAACGTGTCCTTCCACAGCTCTAACTTCCTATTTACCCCTGGCCTACTCTCGTCAACTAGCACCACATCATCAGTAAAGAGCATACACCAAGGGATATCACCTTGTATGTCCCTTATGGCCTCATCCATCACCAAGGCAAATAAATAAGGGCTCAATGTTGACCCCTGGTGTAGTCCTATTTTAATTGGGAAGTCGCTGGTATCGCCCCCACATGTTCGGACACACGTCATCGCATCCTTGTACATATCCTTGATGAGGGTAATGTACTTAGATGAGACTTTGTGCTTTTCTAAGGCCCACCACATGACATTCCTCGGTACTCTGTCATAAGCCTTCTCAAGGTCGATAAAGACCATGTGCAAGTCCTTCTTTTGGTCCCTATATCTCTCCGTCAACTGTCGTATTAGGAAAATCGCCTCCATGGTCGACCTTCCAGGCATAAACCCAAATTGGTTTTGGGTCACACTCGTCACTCGTTGTAGGCGATGCTCGATAACCCTCTCCCAGAACTTCATCGTATGGCTCATCAACTTAATCTCACGGTAGTTACCACAACTTTGAACATCTCCCTTGTTCTTGAAGATTGGTACTAAAGTACTTCTCCTCCATTCATCGGGCATCTTGTTTGACCGGAAAATGAGGTTAAAAAGCTTAGTTAGCCATACTAACACTCTGGCGCCCAAGCATCTCCACACCTCAATGGGGATACCATCAGGGCCCATTGCTTTACCTCCCTTCATCCTCTTCATAGCCTCTTCGATCTCTGCCTCCCGAATTCTCCTCACCAAGCGTCTATTGGTATCCTCAAATGAGTCATCCAACTCCAGGGTAGGACCCTCACTCTCCCCATTAAACAATTTGTCGAAGTACTCTCGCCATCTGTCCTTGATCTCCTCATCCTTCACCAGTGACCGATCCGACCCATCCTTGATGCATTTGATTTGGTTGATGTCCCTTGTCTTCCTCTCCCGAATTCTAGCCATCCTATAAATGTCCTTCTCCCCCTCCTTCGTGCCTAGGCGCTGGTAAAGGTCATCATAGGCCTGACCCTTCGCTACACTCACGGCACGCTTTGCAGCCCTTCTCGCTATTTTATTGCTCTCAATGTTGGTTGCACTCTTGTCAAGGTGGAGACGCTTGAAACACTTCTTCTTCTCCTGAACAGCCCTTTGCACCTCGTCATTCCACCACCAAGTGTCCTTCTCTTCCTGCTTGCCTCCCCTACTCACACCAAGTACTTCTGCAGCCACCTTCCGTACACATGTTTCCATCTTTAGCCACATGTCATCTGCATCTTCTCCTTCTTCCCAAGGCCCCTCGCCTAGTATCATATCCCTAACCATCTGTGTCGCTTCCCCTTTAAGCTTCCACCACTTCGTTCACACGGTCTTGGCATGTTTGTCCCGTTGGACACGTATTCGGAATCGAAAATCCGCCACCACCAGGTATCACCTTGCAATCTACGCAAGCGCGTCTATCCTCCCTCCTTACAAGGATAAAGTCGATCTGACTTGAGTGTCGTCCGCTATGAAAGGTCACCAGGTGAGATGCCCTCTTCCTAAAAAGGGTGTTCGCTATCAACAAGACATCACATCACATGTCTTACATAGTGTCGTCCACTATGTAAGACATCACATCAACTTTAATTTATTATTTATCTACACACATAATTAAATAGAGGCACCCACGAGTTTAACTTACAACAATACCATATAAACGAGAGAAAAAGTTTATCACATATTTATGAAATCAAGCACACTTAAATACCTAATTCAAGGTATCCAAAAAGAAGGAATGCTTCGTTGATGCATTACCTCTTTGATTATGTCAATAATCAACACTCATTTGGTTGTAATAAAGGGAAGCTTACTGAAAATGAAACAGAACCTACTATAGGAAGAAAAAACTGCAAGCGATTTATGGAATTGGGGGAAAAGCGTGGAAGTTTTTTTCCAAATGCTCGCAAAAGTGAACAATTTTGTGAGGATTTGACATCACCGTTAGTTGTTGTTCAAACATTCTGCAAGACTCAAGGTATTTTTTATGAGATTTGCTGCATATTTTCATGAGCAGTTCCTATATTCATATTTTTCTGCTGCATATTTTCCAAATGCTGCATTTTTTTTACATTCTGCATATTTTTGTATGTCTTGGTGACAAGCATATAACTCTTTGTAATGCATTAGTGTTCGTTTGGATGTAAAAACTACACGTATTGGAATTATGTGATGAAAAATTCTCTGATAAGGTTGAGCTTAGAACAACTGTACATTGAGCTTAATTCGACCAAATATTATGAGTTAGAGATGGACATCGACTCTTCAACACAGAGACGAGTATTCACGAAGTTTATTCCAGCATAACGACTTTTTTGGGACCATATACCTCTTCAACAACACTTTGTGCATTTGCTCCTTATATAACTCAGCTACTTCTAAAATGATATGATTGGTTTGTCAACCAATCATCCATTCAATAAAGCATGAAACATAAACATCCACATTACTATCATTCACAATTTATACAAAACTGTCAAAATCCTGAAGTAAGTGGCAAACAAGCTAAGAGCAGAAAAGCAAAAAATAATAAGAATATAACACGCGAGCACACCTATTCTTGCCATCCAGGTAACATAACTACATAAGCACATAAGATTTAAAAGATAACATCCATCAAATGTCCGAATACAACTTTCAGAAAGCCACATGACGAAGGAATAATAATATTGTTTAAATCAGAGAATATAACTAAATTGCACCTCTGCTTATTTTTCTATATAGTTATTCCAAAGCATCTGTCTTTATCACAACATACCAAACCACTCACATTTGTAAGGAATAATAACTTGCCACAAATTTAATTGATGTCTTTCAACTGCACCAAAACTAATTCTAGCTCTTTCAGAAAACAACACAAAGAAAAAGCACACAGAAAACCGAAACAATGCTAAACAAGAATTCCTGAAAATCCATTCCATCCAGCCAAATCCCAATCAACAACTACTTGTTACAATCTATATTAATGTTTCAATTCTGTAATGAATCACCTGAACATCTTAACAAATTTTCATTATGTTCCTATTTACCAAGCCAAATGAAAAAATAAATAAAAAAATAACTTGTAAAACAGAAAAGAAAGGATACTGGTAAAGCAACATCAGCCTCAAAACCTCTCAACTAAAATATCACAAGCAACGAGAAAAGCATGTAAATCAAGAAGCAAGCGTACGTGATTAGTCCCCTGTGCTCCACACCACAGTTAGCCAGCTCCACCACCAATCCCGTGCAGACACGTGTGGACCAGATCACAAACAGCCCTGTTATCACCATGATCACCATCCCACCTTGCGGCAAGAACAGAGAACTCGCAGACAGCATCACAATCGGTAGCATACAGTAACCAATCAAGCTGAGACATTTGTACATATCCAGATTCCCGTTCCTGCCGGCGAGCATATTGAAGACAACATATAGAAACATGGACGCCATAGTCACCCATCCCAGGATAATTCCGAAATGAAGCTTTCCGGCGAGGAGCTGGAACAAACCGAAAGCCATGAGGAAGAGAAAAGGTCCAGAGAGATCGGCGTCCTCGTGGAGGTGATAACTGATTCTGAAAGGGTTGACAATCGAGAGGGTTTTTTGGTAGATTTGCTTGGTGTTGATGCCGAGTTCTTCGAGGAGCGGCGGCTCGTCCTCGAATCCGATGGAGCCCCCGCCGCCGCCGATGGTGGAGGGGAACTGCGGAGCGGCGGAGAATGAGGTGGATGGGGCGGCGGAATTAACGTCGAACGAGAGGAAAGGGAGGCCGGGGCTTGATGCTCTCGGGGGTTGAAAGGGAGCGGTGGGGAAGCGGCGCTGCTGGGAGCCGCCAGGGGATGGCGCGGCAGCATTCCTGCCGGTGGGGAAAACCACAGGGGGCACGTTCGCCATGGATCGCAGACAGATCTAATCTAGGAGCAGTGAAAGATTGATCGAAATGTAAACAGCGTTTAGACTATGTTTGGCCCAGGGAAATCAGACTGGAGATTTTAATAGGAGGGTAAGGAAAGGGACTTGAAGTACCGTAAAATAGTTTGGGATAGTTTTTTTTACATCCCTTTTAACTTTTTTAACTAAAAAAAATGCGAAGGTTATGCGAATGGTACACATAATTGTGGCATATTAGTCGCATAACTATCGATATTCCCATCTGGTTCAAATAGGTTCTTTACACTACACACAAAAAACCTCTCTCAACCTCTACCTCTCTCTAAAAAACTAAAAACACCAGAACCAGTTTGCCTTCCTCCAGCAGGGGCCTCCGGGCCATCGGGGTGGTGAATTCTCTGGGTCGTGCGGCCGGCGTTCGAAGGCTCGTTGGATGGGCGGCTTCCTCTTCCCGGGTGAGTCGGCGGGTCAGCCCATTTTGGATCTCGCCTCTTTATAGGTCGCCACGATGGGTTCTGACCGGCGGCTTCTCGGATATGAGCAGCGGTGCTTTTCCGGTAAGCTTTAGACCATGGGCTGCGGTTCCGATCATCAATTTGGTAACAAGGGGTGGTCGGGCTGAGATTGGGCCGTTTCGCTTTCCTTCCTTCTCCGATTTTCTCTGCTTTTGTGCTTGTTGGTTTCATTGGCGGAATTAAGTTGGGGCTGGGTCTTGTGTCCCGGTCTCGGATCTTTGGGGTTGTGATGGTGGAGCTTGTTTATTGATCTCCGGGCTCGGGTGTTGTGGTTGTCCACTCGGGAGGGCCATGGTTTTTCAATCTCGAGTCTAGTTAGGCGAACGAGGTTCTGCAGTTTCTGGCTTGCGACTTGGACCGGGTCTTGTCCGTGTGAGTGGTCGGCGTCTAGTTGTGTTCGGTTGGTTTCGGCTGCTGGCTGGAAGGGCTTTATTTTTGTTATGTGTCTTTTATTTTTTGTGTTATGTTGTTTTGTATGTGTTGTTTTGTAGTTTGTGCTTTGTTAGTGTCTGTTTGTCTGTTTTGTTTGTGTGATGTGTTTTAAAATAATAATAACAATAATAATAATAATAATAGTTATATAAAAAAAACGGGTTAAGACAATTTCCAGTCTTAACAAAAAAAAATATAGTAGTAGTAGTAGTAGCAGCAACATCAACAACATACATGATACATGTGCACCTGTGTGTGTTTTTTCTATATATAACTGAATGAGCTCATATTCAACAAACAAAACACTCGCTCTGTCCTTTAAAGATAGGCTTAAGACAATTTCCACATAGTCTAACAAAACACAATTATTGTTTGGAAATTAAATTTTGCTACATTTTATTGGTTGTCAAATAAATTTACTCTATTGCACACATTGTCACACTATGTTTATGGCAATATGACTCTTTTTGGGGAGTCATACACAAAAATGTGGTCTATCTTTCCGGGACAGGGGGAGCATAAAAAAAATACACAAAATCGAGAAAGGAAAAACAAAGGTAGATAAGATGTGAGAGATACCTATGCCTAAAACTGGAAAATGAGTTCAAAGCTCCAAGATATTCTTTTTCCTGTAATCATTTTCGTCATCGTCTTCATTACCAGTTGCAGAGCAAACAACCCTAGAAAAGTCATTACCCTCACCGGGGTCGGGCTAGTCCAAAGCTTGCATCAGGTTGCTGCTGATGAGACTGAAAAAAGAAAGAGCTAAAAAGGATGAAAGTGGATGATCGATCCAGAGTAACAGCAAATAGCTCCCCAAAACATTGAGGCTATTGAGCGCTATCATAATATACATAATCAAATAAAATGATAAGTAACAAGTTTCCTTGTCATGAAAAAGTTAGCATTCTGCGAATGCAGCCAATAGCCAGAAGTATCACTGCCAGCCTTGGAAATCACCTTCACAAAAACCAAGAATATAAATTCCAGAAACTAGAAAAGAAGAGATAACATGTTTTCTTGTCAAAGGTGGTGTTCTTTCCCGGATGACTCGGTATATCTCCAAGCAAAGTTAGAATAAAACTAGACCTAAATAATTGTAATATTAAACACTGAAAATGGGCAGTTAACTTTCAGTGGATGCCCAAGTACCCACAAAAACTCTTGTGCATTAAGCAATTCTTCAGATTTATCATTACAGCATTATCATGTTAACAAACCTCCAAATGCGGCAACATTTTTATCTTGAAATGCAACATAGAATAGAATGAAATGAAGGTAACCAAATGATTGGCTTAAACCAGCAGTAACACAAGGAAAATAAAAACTTTAATTGCAACATGTGTCATGAACTGCGTTAAGCAACTGAAAAGAACAACATAACCACATAATCTTTAACATTGTAAGCTACACCAAATCAAAATTCGAAAAGGACATATACAACAGCATAATCTTTAACTCTGTAAGCTACACCAATGCAAAAAACGCTCGCACTTGACAACATTTATATGTGATGATTATGATTATGGGGGGAATTAGTGATTCATTAATCATCATCTTCATTGTGTCATCATATTGAACTATAAGATGCATGTTGCATATGATACCTGTGAAAAGGGTTGGTGGATTGGTTGAAGAGTATGAATAAATGGTAATCCAGTTGTTTGAGAAGGATACTGAGCAGGGTGGATGTAGAGACTAGAGTTTGAGTGTTGACCACCATTACCAGTATTAAATGGAGACAACATGGCTTCAGTTGAACCATAACCAATACCACCAGGAGAGAAGGGAGCAACCCATGGCCCAGGAAGATGTTGAGGAAGAGGCCGAGGTTGGTGTTCTGAGGAAAGAGGCGGCCTATGACTTGCTCCAAGCTGTGGGAATTCAGTGTTGTAGTTTATTGCAGGTGCATACATGGGCTGAATAGGGTATACACCTCCACTAAATCCGAAGCCAGGATCAAACCTCTGCATGTATCTGTGGAAAATATTAAAAAATATTGTTTTCGTTGTCAGTTCAATCGTGCTTAGTTAAAGCGAAAAAAAACAAGCTCGAAAACTATTCCTCATGAGGTCGGACCCAAGAGGAAAGGGGAAAACTGGGAAAATCCTTACAAACAATCAACTTGATATATATCCATGCTAAAAATGCAAATAAAAGGGACGATATATTGAAGCAGAACAAAATATTATATACACGAGTAAAGAAGAAGAGTGTCTTGGATTTGAAATGAAAAATAAAAAACAAAAGAATGGTGAGAACAAGAGTAAAGTATACCTGTCGTAGTTTCTGTCGTAGTCAGGATCTTTACGATCAACTTCACGATCCCGAAAGATAGCGACCTTATTATTTGTCTTCGGTCTTGTAACAGGCTCCTTATCTATCCTAGTTCTAGATAAATTACTGCCAGATGTAGCAGAATCAGAGAAACTTCTTCCTATGACAATATTAGATCCACCACTTGGAGATACTCTCTCTTCTGCCTTTGTTATTCCTAATGAACTATGTCGAACACTATCCTGATTCTTAGGATCACTCAGAGATTTCCCACTGGAACTCCCAGTAGAACTGTTGGAACTAAAAATCCTTGCTCGAGCCCTATTGTATTCCGCCTTCCTTTCCTCCACACTTTTGGAACTGTTTGATTTTGCAGGATTTGCATTTGAATTACTATTACTGTGAGACCCCTTTTGTGGCCTCTGCTTGATTGCAAGCTTTACATCACTACTCTCTTCAGTAGGTAAATTAACAGGAATGTCGGCAAGACGAACCATAGGAATCCGGATGTTTGACGCCTTTCGAACAATTATCCGAGAACCAGACCCATCGGGAAGGTTATTATCCAATAAAACCATGGATTGCAAGGAGTAGTGCTGTGCCACACGATGTGCGGCCAAGCGCAAGTAAGAAGTAGGAAGCTGTTGAAACTCCATCTGTTCGCAAGTAGGATCCTGAATGAACTTCTCCACATCCTGCTCCATTCGTAGCACTGAACAGACACGCAATATCAGAATCTCAAACACCAAAAGAAGAAAAAGGGTCTAATCTTGTTATTTGAGAATATTCCTAATCACCAGGGAGTACTCTGTGCAAGTTTTTAGTATGTGCATATCCATTCATGCTAGACAACTCTTGCTTAGCGCTTTTCCTAATTGGTATCATACTTTTGAACACATGTGCAGAAGCGGCGAGTTTGGATAAAACTTTAGTTTGTGTATCTAACCATCCCGATCAGGTGGATTTCCCTTTTGTTTACAATTTATTCCTCCAATTTCCCTTCAACTTAAAACAAATTTTCCTCAACTTCTCTATAATGTTCAGTCCTCTGGCAGTACAAAGGGTACCAAAATCAATACTCCTTTTTCCGAACCACATTTTTCCCCAAACAATAGAGAATATATACAGCTTAGAGAAGTAGTGAGGACGTCCTTGGATCTACTGAGACTAATCGTCTTGGAAACAAATTGAAAAAGTCCGAGTAAGATTAAACGCATAAGATGAGAACTACCAATATCAATACTCAAGTAGGCACTTTCCTGTTCAGGCATCAGATTCTACTTTGAACACTGTAGCTGATTCAGTATTTAATGCCCCAATTAACTTATAATTTCAAAGCTACATATATAGTAATGGCTAAATGTCTCCTCCAACAACAAGTACCTCTTCATCTACAGCATGAGTTTCGGAACCAGTCCACATACAAATAACTCATCAACAATTACTAGAAAGTTCAAATTGGATTCCTCATCGAGAAAAATCAGTAAGGTAGAAGCCATAAGAACAGAGTAATATTCTACTTGGAAAAAGCAAAAACCATATCAGGCAAATAAATTCAGTAACCAAATAAGTCCTGTTGAGCCTATAGTTCAACTCTCAGTGATAGCATAACTAGTGAAAATGATACGATTAATATGAGGAAAAAAAAAACTCACCAGATAAGCGCTCCCGAGGATTCTGTATAGCTTCCCGCAGAAACTGATCCACTGTGCTAATCAGATCTTCCGACATGCCCAAATCCGAATTTGAAATCGAGTCCGGCACAGAACCCGAACCGGAGACCTCAGATATCTCGTCTTGCTTATTACTGCTGGTAAATGAATCTTTCCTGGAGGAAAGCATGAGGCGGCGCATGCTAGCCTCCACATCAGCAACCTCCCACGACTCAGGACCGTCCTCAGCCGAAGCCGACGAATACGTCGGTGCAGACCCTTCCATAATTGCCTCGACAAACCTTATTCGATCATGTGCAGCGAGTCTGCAGCTTTGATTCTAGAACAGGTCATCACCAAAAGCAGCTGATATTCGAGAAAACATAGTCCCCTAAATTGATAACGAGCCCAAACCCATCTAAATCATCTGATTAGTTGAAAGCTGGAAATATGGATTAAGGTTGGGAGGAGAGGGGAGAGACGGGAATGGAAAGGAAGACGATAGGGTTTGAGCTTGACGAGTGTTTTTGTGTTCTTCTTTCGTATGGCTGCCTTTGTTTCGTTTGTACGGAGGTGATGGGCGCGTGCTCCACGTTATGCAATTCATTATTAATTTATTATTCTCAATCCCATTTTAATATCACAGTAATTGTTTTTCGATAAATAAACTTAATAATCTCTTTCACATAAAATATTACCATATTTTAATATTATTCGCAAATTTGCAAAAAATACATCCAATTGCATATGAAAAATATTATCAAATAAAAATATATCTTTACAAAGTAATATAAAAAAAATATCAAGTAATATATTATATATACATTAAAGTAGAGTAGCTAGTTTAGGAGTTGTTTTTTTGCCTAACATATATATTAGTTTTATAATTACTAAGTTGTCTTGAATAATATTTATCTGAATTTATCTAATCTTTAAAATGACTATTCGACTTGCTTGAATTTAAACATGATAAATAAAGTCCATCACTTGTTATGAAACTCTTGGGTTCAATCATCAATGCATTGGCATACTAATGACTATCCTCCCTTAAAACTTATCAACAAAAGATTAAGGCAAAATAACTTGTTATATCACAATTTAACAACGTCTAACCGCATTACATCAAAGCTTGCCAAATATGCATATCAAGTTATTTCCATATGGTTCTTACAATATATATCAATGATGAAATTACATTGTATTTATGGCATGTGTCTGAAGAAAATTTACTTATTGTGCAGCAGCGATGGTCTCAGCAGGCGTCAATTCAGCCACTCTCAGCTGCTGCACCCTTTAACTCAAGTTCAGCCACTCTCAGCTGCAGGTGTTGGCTCGGCTGCCAATGGTGGCTCAGCTGCAACTGTTGGCTTGGCTGCAGCTGGCGGCTCAACTGCTTCCCAATAGGAAGTTGCTTTGCCCGTCTTTGAAACAGTCCGAAAAACTGCTTCAGGCTGCACATTGCCTTTAACAGTCACCTTTTGGCTCTCGATATCAATGTCAAATGATTCAATGCCTGCACAATAGTATAATATACCATGAATGGACAAATTCAATGGTATCCACAT